GAATAAATGCATTTTGAACGTCTAATTGACAAATAGGCCAATCATGACAGACAGCAAGTGAGAGAACAATGCGGATGGTAACATGCTTAACAATAGGACTGAAGGTTTCAATATATCCTCTTTTTGAAGAAAGCCGTTTGCAACAAGTCGAGCTTTAAAGCGTTCAAGGGAGCCGTCAGATTTGCGTTTGATGCCATATACCCATTTACAAGGAAGAATATGAGTAGCTTGAGAAGGAGGAACAAGATCCCATGTGCCTGCTTTTTGAAGGTCTTGAAACTCAGCATCCATTGTGGAGCGCCAAGAAGGAGATTGATTTGCTTCATGAAAATTATACGGTTCACGATCCAAATCCTGCGAAAAAGAGATTAATGCATATCAGGGATTGGGTTTATGAGTGCTGGTTTTAAGACGAGTAAGCATTGGATGAGAGGGTGTCTTGACTAACTGAAGAAAACTTGGAGACACTATGGAAGAAGATGGTGGGTGAGGAGAGGAAATGATCGGGTTTGAGGAAGGATCTTGGGACAATGGGGGCAAATGTGATGACAAAGAAGGGGAATAAGAAACAAGATGAGGTGAGGTTGGTGGTGATGGGGGATTTGGAGAAAGTACAGTACTAGTAGGTGTGACACTGTTAGATAACAAAGACAAAGAAAAGTTAGTATTAGAATGAGAAAAAGAAGGAACAACAGGAAAAGTTACCTGAGGAGGACCTGGAGAAGGATGAAGGACCACGGGGTTGGTGCTCAGCCAAGGGTGTGAGTGGCTGAGGGGGTGTAACATTAGCAAAAGGAAAATGAGTCTCATCAAATAAGTAAACATGGCGAGATAAGTAAACACGCTTGGAAACAGGATCATAACAACGATACCCTTGATGATTTAATGAGTATCCTAGACAAACACACTTTTTAGATCGAAATTCTAATTTATTTTTGTTATATGGACGTAAATAAGGAAAACACGCGCAACCAAACACACGAAAAATAGAATAAGAAGGAGCACGATCAAACAACTTTTCATAAGGTGATAGAAAATGCAATTGTTGAGCAAGAAGACGATTAATGAGATAAACTGATGTATTGAAAGCATCTACCAAAACGATTGGGGCATGTGAGCAGTAGCAAGGAGAGTAAGACCCATATCCACTATATAACGTTGTTTACGTTCAGATAGCTACCCCATTTTGTTCTGGTGTGTGTGGACAAGTGATGCGATGAAGAATTCCATTTTTAGAGAAATTTTTTTGAAAACTATTACTCATAAACTCATCACCACCATCAGTTTGCAATGCCTTAATCGTATATACAGTATTAATGGAGAGAAGATTTTCAACCAACAATTTAAACTTCTAAAAATAAGGTAAGGCCTCAAATTTATATTGCAAGGGATACATCCATGTGTATTGAGAGAAATCATCCACAAATAAGATAAAGTACTTAGAGCCTTTATTTGAAGATACTGGCGAAGACCAAATATCACAATGAACTAATTGAAGTGGAGAAACAGAGATGGATGAAGATAAAGGAAAAGGGAGCTTAGTGCTCTTTCCCAAAGGACATGTATGACACATAAGACTTGATTTAGAAGAACTAATAGGAATAACAGAGCTTAGCTTATTTAAAATATCATTAGAAGGATGACCCAAGCGTTGATGCCACACAAAAGGAGTTGTTCGTTCACCGATGAGAGCTACAAATTTGCACGACCCCCCTCGAAACGGATACAAACCGTTTTCACTCTTGCCTTG